ACCAGCACTTACCTCTCAGGGTTACTGTGAAGACCAAATGAGTTATTATTTGTAAACAGTGCTTAGCACAGTACCTGTAACACAGGTGCTATATAAATCCTTATTCTCTTCCCTTCTCCCACTGCAGAAGGAATAGTACTTCCAGATTTCAAACCATATTATAAGTAATAATTACCTGCACTATTTATTTAGTGCTGGTTAAAAATAGAAAAGTGGACTAGTGGAACAAACTACACATGGATGAGAAATAACTGAACTCAATTTCATATTCAATAAACTCCAAAACACAAATTACCTAGGAGAGAACTCCATATCTGGCAAGAATTGTTGGACATGGTAGAAACTGGGCTGAGACCAGTATCTTACATCATATAACACAATAAATAAATACGAATGCATAATCCCAATATTAAAAATGATGCCATGAAGAAATGTGAAGAGAAACAGATCATATTTTTTACAGCTCTGGGTGAGGGACAAATTTGTAACAAAGCAAGTGATAGGTGATTATAACAGATAAAATAAGACAGTTTTGATCACAGGACATTAAAAAGCTTCTTCATAAACAAAATCAATGGATATGATCAACTGAGTAAAAAATATGTGTATTAAAGCCTGAAAGACACTGGAAGGATGGTGATGCCCTGAACAGTAACAGGGAAGTTAGCGGGGGGGAGGGTTTAGGGGGAAAGCTAATGAGTTCCATTTTGGATATACTGAGTTTAATGTCTATTGGACATCCAATGTGAGTGTCTGAAAGGCAGCTGGAGAAGTGAGACTGGAGGTCAGCAGAGAGGTTAGGGCAAACGAGGCAGGTCTGAGAATCATCAGTTTAGCAATGGTAATTAAATCCATGGAAGCCGATGAAGTGAAGCAGTACAAAAGGAGAGGAGAAGAGAATCCAGGACATAATCCTGAGGGATACTTGTGGATTAGCGGAAATGATCTGGAGGAGAATTCAGAAAAGGAGACAGAGAGGGACTGGTCAGAGATGCAAGAGAGCCAGGAGAGAGTGACATCCTGAAAACCTAAAGAGTATCAAGGAGAAGAGGAGAATCAATGGTGTCAAAGGCTGCACACAGGTTAAGGAGAATGAGGACTGAAAAAAGGCCACTGGATTTGGCAATTAAGGAATCACTGGTAACTTTGGAAAGAACAATTTCATTGGAATGACAAGGCTGCAAACCGGATTGTAAGAGGTTAAGAAGAGAAAGAGTGGAGGCACTTATCATAGATGTTTTTTCAGAGAGTTTGGCTACTAAGAGCAGAAGAGGTGGAGGAGGATAGTTAATGGGGACAGAAGGATCAAGTGAGGGTTTTTTTCAAGATGGGGGCTGGAGGGGTGGGGTGGAGAGGGAGAGAAACATGGGCATATTTACAAGCAGTAAAGAAGCAGCCAGAAGAGTGGGAAAGATCGAAAATAAGTGACAGGATGAGAGAGAGGGCAATCTGTTGGAGGACATGGGATGGAATGGGATTGCTTGAGCAGGTAGAAGAGTTAGCCTCGGTAAAGAGCAAGCCTTCCTCTTCATGTGAGAAAGACAGACAGTGGTAGATAGCATATGGACTGACAGAAGATAAGGAAGAGGGGGGGGAAGAAGGGAGAAGAGGGAGCTCCTGGTGAATGGGCTCTTTTTTTTGGTAAAATATGAAGCAAGATTCTCAGCTAAGAGGGTGGGGGTGGGGGTGGTGGAACCATAGAAGGTTTGAGGAGGGATGAAAAGGTTTGGAAGAGCCACTGTGGACAGTGGGATAGTGATACAGGATTGCCTAGCAGCAGCGAGGACCAGTCCAGGTTGCGTAACATAAGTTTGCAGCAGACCCACTCAGAACGGTTGCATTAGTTTCCCTACCTTCGGTCAAAGCAAACATAGGGGATGGTGAGAGTGATCTGAGACTAAGGCTTGGCAGGATGCAATCAGTGATATAATAAGGGGGCTGGAGGGGTTAGGGATACAAGAGAAGAGGACAGTGTAGAATTCAACTGGTTCACCAAAGGGTCAAGACACAGAAAAGAGTGGCTAGTGCAGGGGTGACGGCCTGAGAGAAAACTGAGGCAACAACAGATTTGAAAGTCACAGTGTGGACAAAGAGCAGGCTTTGGTAAGGGAAGGCAGAGGGAGAAGTGGAAAATCAACAGACTACAGTCAAATAAGATGATTTAGGAATTCTTGAACACAGAGGGGGTACACTTGTAGGTGATGGCAAGATCAAGAGGAATGAACATCTCTGCGCATGGATGAGTTGGGGCATAGGAATAACTCATGGGAAAAGAGTAGACCGATGAACTGAGTGGTTATGATGTTTTAAGGAAGACTCACCATGTATGTTGGCATCCCCAAATATAAAGGCAGGAGTTAGGAAAAAATCACGAGCCAGGTCCCAAACTCATTGAGGGCGGAAGGAAAGTAACCTGGAGGTCTTTAGATAACAGCTATGCCCTAAACCCCTCCAAACACCTGTAAAAAAATGGCTCTAGACAATAGCTACCAGGATTTTGATAGGGTGGTAGATATGAAAAGACTAATGAGTGATGGAGACAGGGGGAGAACCTGGAAGAGGCAAGGTGGAGAAAGGAGTATTCCAACTCCCCTGCCTTGACCAGCGAGCCAAGGTGAATGAGCGAAGGTGCAGCCAGTACTGGAAAGGGTGGCTAGGGAGGCTGTTTCCTCAGGGGAGAGACCAGGTTTCAGTAATAGCTAGGAGATGGAAAGGACTGGGAGAGGAAAAGATTTAGGATCAAAAGAGGCTTGCTGCCTATGGAAGACGCATTCCAGAAGGGACAATGAAAGGGGTGGGTAGGTAGTTGGTTAGAATTTTGGGATGGGAGAGTAGAGGGGGATGGGAATAAGAAGTGGGAGGGGGAATGGGGTTTAGATGATGACCCACAGGAGTTCAGAATAAATAGAAATATTACTATACAATAAGAAATGAAGAACAGGATGAATGCAGGGAAAGGTGAACTTGCACTTTTTTAATGCAAGCTGAAGTAAGCAGGATCAATACACGCAATGACTACAACAACATAACTACCACCAAATCAAAACTGAAAACTGCACAATTATAATGACCACGCTTGGCCCTAAAGGAGAGATATAAGAAGACAACTTTTCCCTTAATTCCCCAACTTCTTTGAAGAGGCAGAACACAATAGTTATGATATTGGTAAATTTTTATGATATTTATGATATATTTATTTATTATGGTAATTCAAAAAAAATTTTGGTTAGTTTTGCTGAATTTTTTTTCTTCCTCTTTTAAAAATTCTTTATTATAAAGGATGATTCTCTGGAAGTGAGTAGAGAAAAGAATACTATGGGAAATGGAGGTAATTAAAAATGTAAAGAATGAAAGACATCAATAAGAATGCAATTTAATTCAAAAAGTTATGATAGACAAAAATAATGTTAATATTATAAGAATACTCTATGCAGCCTAGACAGAGAGCGGCCTGACGCAAACAAGCAAGGACTAATTTATTTTTTGTATCTCCTTGAAGCGCTGTGGAGCTCAGTGTCACTGGCTAACAGAGCCAGAATGCTACTAATAGTTTGCTTACTTTAATATGATCTGAAGATGGAAGCTATTAAACCTGGAATAACTAATGAATTCTAATAAGAACAATCCCGAAGCTGTCCTTGCAAGCAACAGTAGGAGAGTGCGCTCCTGATGAAATATCACTATTTGTAATGCCTCATGGGAGAATCTCAACAGGGAAAACTATTCTGCAGCAAGCCATAGTCTCTCTTCCTCCCTTAAAATGATAGGAAACAGGAAAAAGGAAGTTGTCCCTGGTGGTCTAGAAAGAATGCTGGAAGGGAAGCGTCAGAAGACCTGAGTTCTGATCCTCATTCTGCCACTACCTAGCTTTGTGACACTGGGCAAGTCACTTTTCTCATGTTTGATTAGTTAGATGAGCTCAGATATCTTTAAAAAGCTCTTTTAAATGGAGACAATTAAAGTGGGTTCACTAAGCTTTGCTTATTTTATACTTCGTGTCTGGGTTCCAGTTTCTCCACATCAATTTCATTTTTTGGTAATGGACTGTTAATTTGTGAAGTGTAAGAGGCCAACAAAAGAACTGGCAATAAAATATGTGTCAGTGGGTCTCCAATGTGACTATTCAGTAGTGCATATCACAGCCCATCCAGGCCTTCTTCACTACGTCATTTGTGCCATGCCCTCCCGCAATTCCTTTATAAAGGATCTATGCAGCTTGTTAGAAATCTTCTAAGTCTCTTAACATTCTGTGACAAGGCAGCACTTAGGCCGTCCATCTTGTTATATGATATACATGACCAGTAACATCTCCTTTGTGTGATCAAACATTTCCTGGATGTAAAGTTTTAGATCAATTCTTGTATGCATATAATTATTAGTGATAAGCTGAAACCTATGTACACCTGTGCCTTTCCACTGCTTGAGTTACCTGCAATTCTGCTTTTTTTTTTTGTGGAGGCTATAGTGTGTTTCATGATCTGCAGTAGTAAAGGCCAAGAAAAAATGCAAGAATCCCCATACATTTTTAACCAACTGGCAGTTCAGAGCTGATGTGCTGAAATTTCCCATAAGAATGTGAATATAAAAGCTCACAGGCTGGGTTCTCTCTGAATCAAAGGTGCTCACAGTTTATGTCAACAGGAGAAAAAAAGGTATCACCAACTTGTGTTACACATTTCTTGGACTGCAGTTGGGGTATTTTATCATTGCATTTTCTGCCTGAGTAAGAAACTTCTCATTGATAGGCTATTTTTTCAAATAGAGTCCCCTCATTCATTTGCAACTTCATCTCAGAATCATGTACTTCACTCATTAATCCACAGTAATGTAGGCTAAGAAGGTTCAAGATAGTGCCTACCATCTCTGGAGCACTTTTTCCTCTTCCTTCAAAAGTGGCCTAATCAGAATTGGATAGGATGCTAAAAGGGCCAAAGATCAACGAATAAACAAGGGACACATGGAGGAATTAGGACTGAAGAAGCAGAATGTATTTTCTTTACCTGGTCACGATCTCCGGCAAAACAGCAGCTTTTCATGGTACATGAGTTGAAATAACCTTGGTTGTCAAACTGGAACACGGGTAGGCGGGAATGGATATCATACAGAACGGGAGGCAGGCGGCGCCGAAGGGCCAGCAGCTGGGTTCCATTGCTGTTGAACCGGACACTCATTGCACTTTGGAGGGACAAGTTACCACCATAGCGTAAGAGGGAGCTGAAACATAAAACAAAACAGGAAAAACATTAGACGTTGTTGATGTCCTCATCAACATGATGTCTAAAGAAGAACCTATGATCATTTCTACATAGCAAATGCCTAAGAATTTTCTGTGAAAGCCTTAAAAGGAAATTCAATAAAGTGCTATTTCTATGAGTTGAACTAGGAGAAACTGTGGTGAAGCCAAAAATATCTCCTGGATGGCCCTAGGCTCTAGGGTGTTGCAGAATGAGTGCTGGATTTAGAATCAGAAAACTTGGTTTCAAATCCCAGCTGTGACACTCAATATCTGCGTGACCCTGAGCAAATCACTTTACTTCTCTGAGGGCCAGGTGCCTCCACCATAACTGATGGAAATGGACTAGATGATCCCAACATCTCTGAATCTATATTCCTACCTGACTATACTATGCCTTGCTTCTTAACTTCCATTTCATATTTGGGAGATGAATAACAGAAAAGGGGCATCTAACATCCAAGGAGAACAGGAATGCCCTTGTGTTCTGGTTCACTGATAAATCAGTGAAAAAAATCAGTGAAAAAAAAATGCATATATGGGATAATATATATAATAATTAATATAATATATATATATATATATATAATAAGAGAATATGGGATAATCAATGTCCAATTTAACTGGTTAATAATAATGGATATATTTGCCCTCCTCCCATTAGAAATTTAATAACCATCATTAAAAACAACACACATTACTTGATCAAATGAAAACAACATCTTTATTATGTAAGAAAAATAGAGAAAAAAGTATGGCATAGAGAGCTAGCCTCAGAGGTGGAAAATCCAAGTTCAAGGCCTCTCTTTTACTTCTACTAGTTGTGTGACAGTCAGACATTTAAATCTCTTGGTGTTCCCAGGCAACTAGAAGTTACAGACGAGTTGCCAATCGTCATCAGTGGAAGCAGTTTTCACACTAAGAGTTCCTCACACTGGTGAAATCATAGCCCTGAGCCAAAATATCAAATCCAATCCAGGATAATCAATCAATCAACAATCATTTATTAAGAGCCAGGCACTGGGGACTAAGACAAAGAATGAAACCATCTCTACACAAGAGGAGTTTATATTCCAATCAGAAAGACAACAAGAACACACATTAAGTATTTATGGAATTTATAAAAGCAAGGTTTTTAGAGGCTTTAAGAGCTCAACAGAAATTACATTTGATCCTAGAGGCAACAGAAATCTACTTGGAGTTTTCTGAGGAATAACATGGTGAGCTTGGTGCTTAAGGAAAACTATTTTGACAAGAGTATAGAAGATGGACTAGAGGGGTGAGAAATTTGGGGTAGGGAAATCAGTTAAGAGGCTGCATGCGAGAGGTGAAAGGGCTTGAACTAAGGCGACGGCTGTGTGAGTGGGCACAAAGAAAGGGTCAGAAGTGAGAGGCAGAAATGTCAAGATTTTCTCTGGATACATGGTGTACGGGAAAGGAAGGAGTTAAGGATAACACCAAGATTATGCACCTGGAAAACCAGAACAATGTGGTGCCTTTGGAAGAAATAAAGAGGTCTGAGGGGCAGCTAGGTGGCACGGTAGATAGAGCTCCAGCCTCGGACTCAGGAGGCCCTGAGTTCAAATCCAGCCTCAGACACAGGACACTTACTAGCAGTGTGACCCTGGGCAAGTCCCTTAATTCCTACTGCCTCACTAAAAAGGAAAAAAACAGTTTGAGAGAGGTGAGGGTTTAGGGGAAGGACAAGGAGCTCAGTTTTGGACATGTTAAGTTTGAGATGTCTTCAGTCTAGTTTAAAATGTCCAACAGGCAATTGGTGATGTAGAACTGAGCACTGGGTTTAGAGGTAATGGGCCTGGCTCACAAGGGGGCTGGAACAGGTGACCTTTAAGGTCTCTTCTAGCACTAATATCTTACAAACACAATAAACTTAAAAATACTAAGTTACAGAGCATGTCTTTATATTCTTATGCAAGGAGCTTATTTATTCATACATTGGAAAAGAATAATCTACCACTACAAATTTCCAACTACTCTAAACTTATGACTGTTAATATATTAAGTTCCAACTAAATAAGAATAATCCTCTATACTACATATGGACTATCAATTTCTGCCACATTTAAAATTTTTCAATATAATTAACATTAAAACTATCACAAATATAACTTTGTCGAAGTGATTTCTGAAGGGATCTTCAAGGTCCTTCAGTGATCAGCATCATCATTATGAAAATGAATTACTGCTGTATAATTCTATACCCACACCCTCTTAGATCATTTGACCTTTTTGTATGTGTGGTATCTGGATTAATCAGAGTTTATTGTATTTTGGAAGGATGATATAGGCCATCTTTCTTCACCACATAAAGACTGAGAAAAACAAATGCTTGGTACTGTCACACAGGCAGAAAAAAGTACTTTTCTGTGAAGAAATAAATCAGCTTAGGAAGAATATTCATGCTCCTTTCATTAGGTAGCAGAAAGGAACAGGAAAAAAACTAGCATTTAATAAAATCTTCCACAATCCATACATAAAGAAACCCAGTTTTTCAGATGGGATGTGAGCAGTTTGGTTTCTAAAAGGAGACACAAAAGAACTTTTGCATCAATAAAAAGAGTTGTCATTCCCATGCAGATAATTTGCATGTTCTTCATCCAAATTCTAAAAGAGAACTTGTTCTATTTCCCACCACACCCTACCTTGTTCCCAGCTTCCAAATTACAACCATCCTTCCCAGTTACCTAGGCTCAAACCTTTGTGTCAACTTGCACTCCTCATTCACACTCACCCCCAAAATCAAATCTATCGTTTTCTTGACTTTTCTACCTTCAGAATATACAACCATCTATCCTGGTGCAAGCTGAAATCACTATTCACCTGGATTAAAATAGCCCTTTTGTTAATGTGTTGGCCTCAAGTCTCTTCCCACCGATACTTCATCCTCTGCTCAAAAGGGTAAGCTTGACCATATCAAACACTGGCTCCTCTTACTAACATCTTCGTAATACTCTGAATAATAAACTCTCTCCTCTTACTAACAGACTCCAATGGAAAACTTCTGGGTTATGTGACCAACAATATGGAGGCCTAGGTATTTTCTGTGAACCTCAAGACCTCTCAAACCTCTCCAAAATGGTCATTATATGTGAGAAATAAAGCAGTTTCAGCTGTCTCTATGGTCTACTGCCCCAGTAATTCAAATAATGTAAAAACATGATGAACCATTAGCAAATAAACCCAATATCTTCTAACTCCTAATGAGCACTCAATCAACATGCACCCCTCATTCAAGCTCCCACCAACAAGACTGTAAATACCAACAAGCAGTCTTTACCTTAGAACTTAGCTTTTCACTCCAGCCCCCCCCCCCCCCCCCCGTGCTTTGGAGATCCAAAGTCCAAAGTGCAGACATTTGCTCAGGCTGCCAATAGCAGTAAAGCAGTATTCTGCGCCACCGAGGAACACACATGGGGTTGTGTGGCATTCTATTAAGCTTGAGAAAAAGACAGGGTCTGTCCTTTACCCTTAGAAGTCAGCTGGGCCAAAGACCTAGACTAGTAAACTGTGAACTGTCCAGTATAGGAAGAGACTTTAGGATCCAGCCCCTAGAGAAAGCACCATCAGTGGGGAGGGAGTCAGAAAATGAGTAGTTGTGGACAATAAGGAAAAAAAAGACTAAAAATTACCAATGATCTTGGGAGGACGAATACTCAAAGACCTTAAGCACAAGCACACAAACCAATATGGAAGACATTAACAACAGAAAGAAATATGGCCTCCAGATTCAGTAAAAGAGTTCAGAAATTTATGAATAAATACTATAAGATAAAGGAAAATGATTCAATGCCTGATGAGGCAGACGATCATGCGGATTCTGAAGAAAGCATGGGACCACACAGCATACTATTCCCTGAATGGTTAAAAACAAATATGAATGTGAGCAGAATTTATGGCCTGCACAGCAGAAATAACTGGCAGAATGGAAACATGTGAACTCACAGTGACAAAGAAACAAAAGGGAGGATATCTGATTGGGAATGCAAACACACAGAAGTGAAGGACTAACTGGAAAAAGAGAAGAAAAATCAATAAAACTAAATAAATAAAACTAAAAGAAAGCACGTTCTCCATACAAGCAAAATGTATTGATCTCAAAGAAAGAATGCATAGCAATAACTTAAGAATTATAGGTCTCCCAGAACATGACAAGTCATAAAACCTGAACACCATAATGCACGAAATAATACAAAACTGCTCAGAACTTCTGAACACAGAAAGCCAATTGCCAATCAGAAGAATCCATGTCGCCTCCAGAAAAAAAAATCAAGACTGCATACTCCAAGATACACAGTGGTTAAATTTAACTATTCCATTGAGATAGATGCAAAAAAAAGCTTGACAAATTACAAATTCCGTTAAAAACATTAGAAAGCATAGTAATAGAGCTTTCCATAAAATGATAAGCAGTATATTTAAAACCAAGAGCAAACATTATCTGTAATGGGGATTAGCTAGAAATCTTTCTAATAAGATCAGTTTTCAATGAAGAAAGGATGTCTGTTATCACTATTGTATTAGAAATGTTACTCACAGCAATAAAATAAAAGAAATTGAAGGAATAAGTATAAGTAAAAAAGAAACAAAACTATCACTTTATGATGATATAATGGTTTGCTTAGAGAACCCTAGACAGTCAACTAAAAACTAATTAAAACCTCAGCAAAGTTGCAAGATACAAAATAAATATAAACACATCATCAGCATGTTAAAAACAAACAACACTGAGAAACAACAAATTTTACATGCAACCAGAAAGACCATCAAATACAAAGGAGAGGAAATTAAAATAACACAAGACTATTCTGAACTCACTAGAAAATGCAAGAGGGAACAGAATAATATGTTCCAAAGCACAATGGAACTCAAGATACAGCCCAGGTTGACGTACCTGAAAATCTGAGCCTGATCATAAATGAAAAAAGATGGACATTCAATAATAAAGAGAGATTCAAAACAT